ATGCTGTAATTCTGAGTATTTTATGTGCTGCAGAACAGGAACCTGCTGTAAAACAGCAATTATGCTGAGTCAGGCTTGATTTTCAATAATCTTTTCCTGTTAAATAAATCAATCAAATCAAATCAAATAACTGCCCAGTTTACGTATCATTATACTTTGTTTCTTTATGCTTTATTTAATGTATTTTTTTTTACATTTTGAGTTTATATGTTGACTTTTTGTGTCTACATTGGCTTCTGTTTTGTTGTTTTGTCTATCTTTTTAAATCTCTTATGCTTCTTGCTGTCTCTGTGTGTACTTTTATTGATTTTTTTCCCCATTTGGGTCATTTTTGTTTTGTTTTCTGCAACTTTTTTGTCACAATATGCATTCTTTTTGCATTTTTGCCATTTTTGACTTTCTCCTCTTGTCAGGGGTTCTAGGGGCAGGGCCACAGGGTCACTGGCCCCAGCTGAAATCTGATTGGCCCCCTGAAGTGTCCTGTCACTCATCTTAAAGTCTCCTTTAGGAATATTACTTAAGTAAAAGTCTTAAAGTATCTGATATTTTTGTACTTAAGTGTTAAAAGTAAAAGTACTGATTTAAAATGAACAGTTAGATTTTCTGTAAGGACATTTATTAGGAGGTGACCTCCCCCAAAAATGCAGAAATTACTATACTGTATTAAAATAGTTAATTTGTTAAATTTAGGATGCACTAGTCCAGCTGTTTCAATTTATATACATATATCAAGGCTGCACAAAGTTTTTCCCCAAAATGAAAATCTATCTGAGGGCTGCGGGCAAATGTAATAATATAATTCATGAAATACAAATACTTCTTAAGTACAGTCCTTTTATTTGAATGATTCTGTCCTGCTGGAGTGTGACATGATTTGTTTGTTTACAAACTAATACGCTATCAGAGTTTTATATATTTATACTTCTCATTCAACCACAGTTAAATTCACTCTATCTAGGAGGCACAGTTTATATGGATAGTTTTTGTTTTTTTATAATAACAAGCTGGAATGAAAACAAGCAAAAGTGAAATAAAAGTAACAACTTTCTTGCCTTTTTTTAAAAATGTAAGGAGTAGAAAGTACAGATAACTTTGTGAAAATATAAGAAGTAGAAGAAAACGTAGGCTGAAAAATAATTACTCAAGTACAGATACCCAAAAATTCTACTTAAGTACAGTAACAAAGTATTTGTACAAAATTATTTTACAACTCTGGTAAAAATGCACATTACTGATCAGCTGTAAAGTCCTGGCTGGTGAACTTGTTCCAACTCGGTCTGTTTTCCCTCAGGTTGTATCTGCGAGGCTACAGCGGCACGGCCGGCAGGCAGAGCAGTCTGATCACACACGGCGCCGGCTTCAGCACCCGAGATCACGACAACGACAACTGCGACCACTGCAAGTGTGCCCTGATGCTCACAGGAGGTGAGGCTTTCCTCTCCCTTTGTTACAGGTTTATAAATAGGTTCAAGAATCACTAAGAATGATAACAGTGAAACATTAAAAAACCTCTTTAAGAGCAGAATTAGTGGTATTTTCCTAAAAGCTGTGGTCTGTCAAACATCTGTCTCTGTCACCCTTCAGTGCTCTCTTACCTTGAGCCGGCGCCAACGCAAACAGCTCCTCAGCTCTCCTCGGCCGCCCCTCCATAGGTTCTAATCGCAGATTAACTTAATTGTTTCGACCAAAACCCTGCAGACCTCAGAGCAGCAGACTGAGTGGTGACCATTAGTCAGCGAGTCGTTTCAAATCACTGCAGTTTACAGAAAAACTCAAAGTCATAAAAAAGACGGACAGGGTGAGCAAAGGAGTGGATAAAGATAACTTTTTTTTACTTTCCCCCTCAAAGCTTTAAAAATAAATAAATAAACGAAAATTGGACCCAAATTTGAAAATAATGAGCTTCAATCAGAAACGTATTGTGTTTATAAATTTCAGTTTCAGACGCGTGTCGTCAAATAAAACGCTCCGAATCCCCGCGTCCACGTCTGACCTGTTCTTAAATCTGCACCATTAAACAATTTGTGATGTTTGTGTAGGTTTATAATTGTTTGCAGGGTTAGACATAACATTATTGCACATTTTAAGAATGTACAAATAAGCACCAGATGTCACAACGAGCAGCCTTTTTTTTTGTTGTTTTTGCTCTCAGTTCTGTTTAAACAAACGTCAAATGAACAAACTGGGATCCTGTTTTTGAATAAGTTTTTTTTTTTTTTTTGGCAGCAGGTGATAACAAAAGAAAAACAACCAATTTTAAAGCAAACTTAAGTTTTTTTATTTTCACTACAAATGATATTTTAACCAAAAAATGAGACACTTAACACGACTGTGCTTCCAAATATTACTAAAATGGCTACACTGAAAATTTGTTCAGATTATTAATCTTGTTCTTATTTCAAGAATTTTACCAAGTGCAATTGTCCATTGGCAGATTTTTTTCACTTAAATTGAGTCAAATTTCCAGGCTAACAAATAATTTTACACATTCTGTTCTTGTTTAATAAATCAGTCTCAAAACTGTGAGGTACCAAGTGTAAAATGAAATGTTAAAAAAATTTCACTAACATATTTTCCATTATTTAGCTCACTGTTCTTACATTTTACAATTTTTACTAAATGTTAAATTTAAACGTAAATATAATAAATTAAAATACAAAATCCTAAATCTAAATGTAAAAGTTAAACCTAAAATGTTGAAGTTCACATTTAGGTATTTTGGAATGGAACGCAGCCTTTGTTGTTGGCACTCGGCTCATGTTATGATGTCATCATCCTGAGACAATAGCAACCGCTAGCGCTCCAATGCAGCTAAAGCTTCCCTACAAGACATCGAACTTGCAGTTATGGCTGGTGTCTGAGCTGCACTTCTGAACCACAGGTACCACCCATATTGCATTTTATGAACACATTTTGGATTTAGATTTTAAAAATTATCTTTAGCATCACAAGCAGCGCCTAGCTGTGACTAGCAGTGGCCATTGTTGACTTTTGTTGCAGGATGAAAACGTTGTTACATATTGTAACCCCAGATTCTGAGTGTAAGCTCCGCCCTCTAAGGCTATCGCTGATGGGTATCCCTCGCGCTTACATGAAATAGAACATCATGCTGATTGTGACGCTAACCTCTGCTAACGCTTCTAAGATTGCTAAAAAGAATATTTAAAATATAAATTCAAAATGTGTTAATTGAAAACAATACTGAAATCACCTGTGGTCCAGCAGTTTGAAGTGCACCTCAAACACCAACTTCATCTGCAAGTTTGACGCCTTTTAGGGAAGCTTTAGCTGCATTGGAGTGCTAGCTGTTGCTATTGTCTCAGGATGATGATGTCATAACATGAGCCGAGCACAAATAACAAAGGCTGCGTTCCATTCCAAAACACCTAAATGTGAACTTCAACATTTAAGGTTTAAATTTTACATTTAGATTTAAACATTTAGATTTAGGATTTAATATTTAAATATATTTGTTAAAAGTTAGCTAAATGTAAGAACAGTGAGCTAAATGTGTTAGTGAAGTTTTTTAACATTTTATTTTTACGCCTCTTGGTAATTTGGTCAATTTGGTTGTCAGGAAATTCGAACAGACAACTTCTCAATC